AAAATTCAGTAGAAGCTTCTAGATCTAGCTATCAGTTTACAGGTAATATGGAGAACAGAGGAACATGTTAAATGACACCACGGGAATGCAGTCAGCAAAATCTGACTGTGGGAAACTTCAGTTTAACTAGTTTTCTCCAGCAAAAACTTGCAAGGGAGAGATAAAGGAGAAACTTATATATCCACAGAGATTTAAGAGAGATATCAACAATCACATTGCATGAACCTTATTTAGATCTAAATTTAAACAAATTCTTTAGAGAACAAGTTCCTAGGGCAATTAGGAGAGGGTAAACATGTCCAAATATTTGATAATAAAGAATGATTGTTATTTTTAAAGTGAGATAATGGTGTTTGTAGTGCTTTGGGTTTGTTTTTTAAATGACCTTATCTTTTAGAGGTTCATAGTGAAATAAAAATGACATCTAGGATAGACTGGCGCTTTAGGAGTGAGTAGAGACACACAAAATAAGACAGATAATTGCTGAAGCTGGGTGTAGAGTACACTGGGCTTATTATTCTAGTGTCTTTTCTTTTGTGTATGTCTGAAATTTCTCAATAAAGCACTTAAAAAAATGGAAGAGTTAGAAGAATAATTGAGGAAGTCTCACAGAAAAAAAAGAAAAGAAAAGAAAAAAGACAAAAGAGATGAAAATAGGAGCAAAAGATAAGAAATACAAAGGATAAATTCAGGATTTCAAAAAAGAGAGAGAGAGAGAGAAGAAAGAAAATGGAAGGGAGAAAATGATCAAAGAAATAATTTGAGAAAATTCCCCAATACTGACAGCCATTAGTTTCTGGAGTGAGAGACCAGCCAGTTGCCAGCACTGTGGATGAAAAGTGCCCCACACCAAAGCCCGTCACTGAGAAATTTCACCAAGTTGGTGCACTGGGCCACAAACCTCACACCCCTTCTGACAGTCCCTCGACTGCCTCCTTTTCTCTCTCTCAAGCAGCACGGTGTTGGCACAGCTTCTAGGCCAAGGTGCTCCTCCACCTCTACAACTGGATGAAATGCCATACTGTAGGGTGTGGGACCCAGCTTCCAGGGCACCTCCTAAGGCTCTGGATGACATACCTGGAAATACAGACAAGCTAGCCTTGGGGTAACCCTACTTTTTTTTCTTGCTTTAACAATTCTATTCTTTATTGTTTTTAGTAATATATAATTTCGAAATATGATTAAACATTTACATGTCAGAGAATTCAAAGGGACATTTCTTTTTTTATTGAAGGACAGTTGATGTACAGTATTATATAAGTTACAGGTGTACAATACAGTGATTCATAATTTTTAAAGGTTATTCTCCATTTATAGTTACTATGAAATATTGGCTATATTCCCTGTGCTGTATAATGTATCCTTGTAGCTGATTTATTTTATACATAGTAGTTTGTACCTCTTAATTTCCTGCCCCTGTATTGCCCTTCCGCCTTCCCTCTCCCCACTGGTAACCCTGAGTTTGTTCTCTATATGTGAGTCTGCTGCTTTTTTGTTATATTCGCTGGTTTGTTGTATTTTTTAGGTTCTGCATGTAAGTGATATCACACAGGGTAACGACTGACTGATGGAAATGGGAGATGGGAGGGAGGGGGAGATAGCATCTCCCCCCTCTTCTCTCCCTGTGGTTCCTCCTTGTGACCCTTCCAGAAGAGTCCCATGTGCCTGGTGAACTAGCAGCCAGTCTTGCAACATCTAGCCTTACATCCCCGTCCCTCATTCATTTTATACCTGTACGTTCTATCATGAAAACTTCCAAACATACAGCAGTTGCAAGAATTCACAGCAAGAGCCCCTGTACACCCATTAGCTAGCGTTTACCACTGACATTTTAATCAGCTCTATTGAGATATAATTTAAATACCATAAAATTGACCCACTTAAGGTGTGCAATTCAATGGCTTTTAATATATTCCCAGGGATACGCAAACATTATCACAATTTTAGAATATTTTCTTCATCTCCAAAAGAAACCTCCTACCTGTTAGCAGCTACTCCCATTCCCCTTCTCCCAACCCTAAACAACCACTAATCTACTTTCTTGCTCTATGAAATCGCCTTATTTATTTATTTAAACATTTTTTTTTACTTTGGTGGTGGTATTATTATTTTTTGGTTTGTTATCTTTTGTTTGAGGGTGGGGGTGGGTGGGTAATTAGGTTTATTTATCTATTTGTTTAATGGAGGTCCTGGGGATTGAACCCAGGACCTCATGCAAGCTAGGCATGTACTCTACTACTGAGCTATACCCTCGCCCCATTTAAAAGAAATTTATTTATTTTTTATTGAAGTATAGTCATTTTATGAATCACCTATTTTAGACATTGCCTATCAGTGGAATCATGCAGTAAGTGGTCTTGGGTGACTGGGTTCTTTCACTTAGCATAATGTTTTCAGGGTTCATCCATGTCATAACATGTATCAGTACTTCATTCCTTTCTGTAGCTGAACAGTATTTCATTGTACATTATTGACGTTTGTTAAACTTGCTTTATCGTGTGCCTATTCACCTATCCCTCCTTCTGTTGATCCATGAATCCATCTTATAACTTTTATGTATTTCCCTTTTTCTTTTTAAGCATACCTCCCTTTTCCCCAGCTTTCTGTGCATTGCACACTTCTTAAGTAAAGCTCATACACGTGGCTGCCCTAGGTGCAAGGGAGGCAGAGAGATGGAGTACTTAGCCTCCTGGCTCTACAGGAGAAGAACAAAGAGAAAAGGGAGCCTGGGGACGGGCTTTTGCTGTCTTGGTCGATGGCGTTTCTCACTCTCATCCACATCTCCCCCTCCAGTCTCCCCTCCCACCACTGCGTCCTACAGATCTTATATTCCAGAAAGGCCAAATTTCTTAAAGTTCCCTGAGCACCCCACATTTTTCCAGACTCCATTCTTGTACCTGCCCCTAACCTGGCCAGCCTTCTCTGTGTTCTTCCCTTGTAATTCAGCTCAGCGGTTGCCCTTCAGTGACATATCCCCAACACACACACACACACACACACACACACACACACACACACACACACTGTGGCCTCCCTGTGTTTGTTTTACACTCCCATTATGGCATTGACCCTCCTATATTGAATTAACCTTTTGACCTGTCTCCACCAGCCTGTAAATCCTCAAGGGCAGGGGCCAGGTCTTGTATGTCTTGGAATCCCTGGAAATCACTGCAGAACATGGCTCAACAAATATTTGTTGGATGGTGAATGGAAAACATTTCGTTACCATCTTTACTGTTGTTTACATAACAAAAGTCTTGTTGGGCAGCAGGGGAGGCCCGGAGGTAAATACCTGGTTTGGATACAAAGATGAGTAAGACTAGATCCTGGGCCTCAGAGGAGCCTACAGCACCCTTTTGTCTGGGCAGATGCAACGCTGGACGAGATGCCAGGACAACAGATGTAAACTCGGACTGTCCCAGGCAAACCGGAACATATGGTCACCCAAATTACATACCCACTTCTATGAAAACAGCAGTGCCACGCTGACTCATGCCCAGCCTGTCAGATCTTGGTCACTTCCAGAATTTCCTTGCATAAGCCAATTACTCCTCATTAGTGCCTGGGTCATTTGTGTTTTTCATTGTTGTTACCCATGTAAAATCTATCCATATAATCTGATATTCCTAAGGTATTGTGTACATTTGGAGATATGTGCTCCCAAGTTAAGTGACCTGGTTAAAACACAGGGACCGTTGATGCATCTTTGTCTATTGCTCTGTGTCTTCCTGCTCTCCTAAAAATCTGAGTCAAATTACAGAGCATATTTTTTTCTCACAACTTTGCCAATAATTTATGTTCTCCTTTTTATGTACTCCTAGAAGCTTCTTGTCATTTTAGAGTGTTCTTTGTTTGCATTTTTTTTAATGCTGCAGAGGTTATACCTTATACTTTAACCAATTGCAATTTACTTTTTGTGAAAACATACTATAATGGAAATACATACTTTATAATTACAAGGTACGTTGTGGGTGTTCATTCAATATTTGTTGAATGAATGGCCTGTATCAAAATCACATTCAGTTACAAAGAGACAAATGCTGCATGATTCCACTTGTATGAGGAACCTAGAATAGTCAAATTCATAGACAGGAAGTAGAATGGTGGTTGCCAGGGCCTGGGGAAGTCAGGTAATGGGGAGTTGTTTAATGGGTGCAGAGTTCCAGTTTTGAAAGATGAATGAAAAAAGTTCTGGAGATTCACTGCACAATGTGAATGTACTTAATATTCTTGAACTGTACACTTAAAAATGGTAAGATGTTAAACTGTAAGTTATGCATACTTTACCAAAAATGCATGTTGTATTAACATATAATTATATATTATATATAAATTAACATATGTGTATTACCCCAATGGTCATTTGGTATATATTGTCAGTATAAGTGTACCTACAATATATAGTCATGCATGTTAAATGAAGTTAAATGTGTGAAACTTTCTGGATTAAAATGACAGTATTAATTTTTCAATGCAGAGACAAACAGGCAAAAATGTGTCATAACAATGTCATTACGTAGCACATAGAGTAAGAAGCATCATAGACTGGATAGTATTATGTGAACATCCAGGAATAAAGTGCTCGACCTTAAAAAAAAATCAGGCATCTAATTTTCTATTTTCTGTGAGTAAAAAGCAGAGGCAGAGCTTAGGGGAGCTTAGAGACAACCATTTTTCACCTGAGAGATGAGGCGAGGAGACTGGGAGAGTCCAGGTGATTTTCCCACTGCAGGAGCAGCCTCATCTGTCTCTTTCAGAGGGCACTCCAGCCAGATCCTCGTGTCTCATTGGCCAGAACGGATTCCAGGGCCCTGACTGCACCAGAGGCTGCTGGAAAAGCAGGGAATACAATGGGTTAGACACATGGCCTCTCCCAATAAATGAGGGCTCCCTCAGCAAGGAGAGGAAAGGAGAAGGGGTGCTGGGTAGGCAATCAGCAGCGTCTGTTACGCTCACATTCGTGTTTTTGTTTTGTTTTGTTTTTGTTTGGGGCTTTACAGGCTGGAACCAATGGTTATATGGCTCCGGAAATCCTAATGGAAAAAGCGAGTTATTCCTATCCTGTGGACTGGTTTGCAATGGGATGCAGTATTTATGAAATGGTTGCTGGACGAACACCATTCAGAGATTACAAGGAAAAAGTCAGTAAAGAGGATTTAAAGCAAAGAACACTGAAAGAGGAAGTCAGATTCCAACACGATAACTTCACAGAGGAAGTGAAAGATATTTGCAGACTCTTCTTGGCTAAGACACCAGAGCAACGCTTAGGAAGCAGGTAAACTGTTATATAACAGACGTGATTAGTGATGTCAGCATTGTCCACAGGGATTTGGAGAATACTTTGGATTAATGACAAAGCCTTGTGATTAAGTATTAGTAGTGTTTTCCTGTTTTTATTTGTATATTATGTGATTAAGTATTTTCAACACTTTCAAACCCTATGAACTCTTGATATGGAACAACCTCCAAGATACATTTTAAAGTGAAAAAGTGAAGTGGAAACAACATACATAAAAAAAGAAGAAAAAGAATACTACTTCAAATACTTGCATAGAATATTTCAAGCAGAGTATACAAGGAATGTATAGGATTCATCAACTTTAACAGAGGGAAATTGGGGGCTGGTGACAGCTATGCAAATGAGGATTTTCATTACTTAATTCTATTAGCTTTTAAATTTTGAACCATGTGAATAAACTACCTATTCGAAAATGAGTAAAATGAAAATTTGAAATAAAAACCACCAGTACTGATAGCCAAAGCTCTGGAAAATTCTGTCCCTTTTATACATCTCTGTACCATATCATTAATCAGTCAACAGATATTTAGTGAATACAGAGGATGTTGCCAGCTATATTAAGTCCAGCTGAAATTTTTTGAGGGAAGTCAAGCTTTATTGCTTACAATGGAATAATAAGATCAAGATCTTTCATTTGTTTGTTTTAAGAGGGGGGAAGGTAATTAAGTTTACTTATTTATTTATATTTGGAGGTGGTACTGGGGATTGAACCCAGGGCCTCATGCATGCTTAACATGCACTCTACCACTGAGCTATACCCTCCCCTCAAGATCAAGATATTTCAAAAGAAAAAAATAAGAAAAGCTGACCTATGAAAAGACCCTTGACAGAGGGTGACTGTGTTATGTAGGAAGGAAACCAAGGGTTTTCGAGTCACAGAGAGACCCACATCCCAGCTCTGCTATGTACTAGTCATTTTACTTCAAGCAATTGAATTACTTTCTGTGTCTTCATATCCTCATATATAAAATGAGGTTTTGTGATTGTGATGGTTAATTTTATGTCTCAACTTGACGAGGCCAGAACATTCAGATTTTGATCAAACATTATTCAAGATGTTTCTGTGCAGGGATTCTTCAGGTGAGACTAGCATGTAAATGAGTAGGCTTTGAGCAAAGCAGGTGATACTTCATAATGTGGTTGGGCCTCGTGCAGTCAGATGAAGGCCTTAACAGAAAAAGACTGGGAGAAGAGGGAATTCTGCTAGCCAACCACCTTTGGACTTGAGCTACAACTCTTCCTAGGTCTCCAGCTGGACAGCCTACCTTGAAGAATTTGGGTTTGCCAAACCTCCACGAACCTGTGAGCCAATTCTTAACGTAAACCTTTCTCTTTCTCTCTCTCTCTCTCATATACATACACACACACTGTCAGGGAGGAAAAATTTTCTTCCACCCTCTTAGGTTTAGGGATGGAGGTCTGAAAATTAAACCCACAAAAGACAATTAGCAAGAGAAAAGATAGATTTTTATTAATGTACACACAAATGAGTTCACAGAAAAATGTGACTAGAAGGTGATTAGAATTGGGGGTTTATGTCATCTTAATAGGGGAAGGGACTGGGAGAAGATCACTTACAGGAAAACAAATGACTTCTTAGAAATCATGGGGGAAGGGCACTTATGGGAGAACAGTTGACTTAGGAAAGATAAATGGCCCTTAGGAGAATAGATGAGAGATATGATAGTTTTCTGACAATGTCTATTTAGGTGTGGTGCTGACTTCTGTCACTGGTGATAAGAGTCAATCTTTCCTGGTTCCAAAACTCCTGAAATTCCTGGGGAGAGGATTTGTGAGTTCAGTTCTTTTCCAAGGCTCTGCTTATCTTAAAGGCAGACAAGGGGAGTTCAAAACCTGCACCTGTTAACTCTCAAATACCTTCGGCTCAAAATAATGTTATACCACTATTGTGCATCCTGGACCCCTTCAACATCCTTTTGCTTCTGTTTCTCTAAAGAACTCTGACTAATTCAGGTGGAGTATTTTGAGATTTAGATATAATGTATGCAAAGTTACATATAATGTTATGTTAGGAATCATTCAATAAGTGATAGCAATTATTATTAATTTGCTCTAAAGGTGATATCAGATAGTATTTTGATTAAACTATGAGTTTGAGTGTCTTAAATTCCTTGGACTGAATTTTTAAAATCTAAAAATACATACAAATATGAAAGATACAACCATAAAATAATATGACTGATTTTTAATATTACACCAGAACTTAGGGAGCCAAGTCACTCTAAACCTTCCAAGTAGTTGCCAGGTGCCTAGAACAGGGCTGCCTTAGCTCACAATGTTTGTCTATGGAGGCAAGCTTTTTATTTTTGACCTGATTTTTTTAAGGAGCGAAACAAAATTCATGTATAGTAACTTTCCAAGCGTGACAGATAACCAAACTAACAAATGAGTCTTTTGAAACGAGGTGGAGTTCTACATTTATCAGATGGAAAACATGAAACTGATTTTTCTCAAGTAAATTCCAACTTTGTCGTATTAGTGTAGTCAGAATAGGCTATGTGGTGGTAACAAGCAAATCCCAAAGTCTCGGCGGCTTAAAACCAAAGGATTATTTCTCATTCCCACGAAGTCCTTTATGGGTCCAGTGTTCCTCCAGCGTATCTCCCTTCAGAGCAGTGACTCAGAGCTACAGGCTGCTTGCATCTTTCGGTTCCATTGAAACTGGTGGCTTTCAGTTGCTATGGCAACACAAGAGACTGCAAAAACCTGAAGGGCTTTGTCCAGCAATGACCCACTAAGCACATCACTTCAGACACACTTCTGTCAGACAAGATGCGTCCTCGGGCCCTGCCTAAGGGCAAGGTGCTGGCTAGTGTTACCTTCTGTCTGCCCAGGAAGGAGAGGAGAGCTTGAGATGGTGACCACTAACCGTCCCCACCACCCTGTTCTCAAGTGCGCTCGGGGAGTATCAGAGGCGGTACCAACCGTGGCTGAGGCAGTGGAAGAAGCGAATGGTCTCTTTAGACAACTTCCCTGAAGGGAACACCACCTCCTTGGTGTGTTTGAATACACATCTATCTCAGTCCTTTATAAGCACACTTTGAGTCTATAAAATGAACTATTGACCAACTTCTTCAGGAAAATGCCACCTTAAAACACCAGATCATGGCCTGAAGGTGCTCCATCCAGCAAAACCTTTTGCTAAAGCATTTGATGTTGTGACTGTTTTGAATAAAACTGTTTACAACATTAGAGAGAAGGCATATAAAAACCAGCTGTTCGGTGAAAGAGGAAACCTTCCAACTTTTTTATTTCAACTCTTTGTATGTTTTTAAACATTCATTCAAATGAGATAACATTTGATTCATTTCGTGCGCGTCCTCCAAAGTGTAGCAAATGCCTAGACAGCATATTACACAGCAGAGGTCAAGTGCCCCTCCCTGTTGCATTCACAAACATTTGAAATCAGTTAAAAACTCTTCTCCTTCTTTAGACATCACTGAAGAGGATCTCCTCCTTTGCTTTTACGAGTTTGTGAATGAATTTTGCGGAGAAAGCCAGAAGCTTTTCTGAGCATCTTATGGGGTCTCCAGACAAGGTCAACTATGGTGTTTTCCAATAAAATAAAAGGTGAAGACCGCTTAAGTATTTTTCAGGGTTTATTCTGATCAGTCAGCGGAGCAGAACAATGGCAAATAACCATGCAAGTCTCTGACTTAAGTGCTTCTCCGACACACAGTTTGCCAAAATCCATTGTTCTTGGCAAACCCCACACTGTGGCCCTCGTGTATGGGCAGCTGGTATCTCTTCTTCATTGACTGTTATAAGAAGACCCACTGTAATCTCTGTATGGAGTTCGGTAACACAAGAGCCCCCGTCAGTGCTCTGAAATGTGTTCAACAAGCAGGAGAAGTCTTCCTGCCGCTGCCGATCTGGCCATTACAGAAGGTGCTGCCTTCGTCGAAGGCCTCTCCTATTTGTCCAAAGTGCACTGCATGAGGGTGGGCCAAAAGAGCCCTGAACAAAGCTGCCAGGGAAAAATTCAACAGTAAAATGACCTTCGTGCTATTTCTAACTACAGAACTGAGAACTAGTGCGAAAGAACCAAGTGATCCGCATCAACAACCACAGACATTTATTAGAAAGGGGCATAAGGCGTGGGCTCTGCCCTCCAGGGGCATCCAGGTGGGGATGTTGAGGAACATACAGAAAACCTCTGAGTGGCCCATCGTTCCCTGTCTTCTGTGACTAGTTGCGGAAGGGCTGCGGTCAGCCATCCCTAATGGACAAGCCAAGGCCATCGGAGCCTGGTTGCTGAGATGTTAGTTGAGAACAGTGCATCTTGATGTGAAGACTGGCCTGGCAAGTTCCCCAAGGTTACTGAACCCCCAGGCACTCTTCTTTGTCCAAGTTAGATCTGCTCAAAGTGACTTTAAAGGTGCGCTCTTGGCCTCTGGTACAGGGTGTTCATGCCTGCCAGCGGTCATCAACGTGGTACAAGCTCCTTCCTCCTGGCACCCGGTCCCATTCCAACTCCTTTGTTCTCTTGAGACATACAGGCCTGGGTTTCATTCCTGATCTCCTTGGGTGGAATTTTCGCTCTATCCTTGTTCTATCACATTTAAAATCTATGTGATACTAACCCCCATTCCTTGGATCTATCTGATACTTCAAAGTGTTGCTGTGTAAATCATACCTCAGTAAATCCGACTTTAAAAAAAAATCCATCCTTGAAGCTTCAATTTATCTCAGTAATCCTCCGTCAAGGCTCTTACTCTCCAGGCTGTGAATCACACAGAAATTGATCAGTCAGTTCTGGTAGATGGCAAGTCTACATCTTCCTTTCTTTTAATTGATGGAGACTCAGTGGGTTTGGGGGGAAAAGAGATACTCTGTAGTATCTTATGATGGTGCAGCTTTCCTTACCTGTCTTTTCAGCAGGGTTATAGTGGGGCAAGTCCAAGGAATCCTGGATGGGTTTTTCTGGATAAGGCTGGGCTTCAATCCAGAACAACCACTGGGGAATGGCTGGACATCAGACACCTTCAACTGAGTTTCTCTTTTCCATAATAACATTTGACTACAATTTTTTCCTTTGAAAAATTCACCTGTATTTTCTGGCTTTCTCAGATGCACAACTATTTATAAAAGCAAAAGCAAGTATAAAGAGATTAAAAAATACAGTTAAAAGACAGATGGGGTTGGGGTGATGGTTAACTGTGATAAAGTAAGTGAAGAGCTTAATGTTGTGTTAGCCAGGAGTAGGCTCTGAATAAATGCTACCTATTTTCACTACTGTTATTGGCAATGTCATTATTGTGTTTAGACTCCAGTCATCTTCCTGGGCAGAGTCTGCTGCAGCAACTATCAGATGTGATGGGGAGTCTCTGAAGGGGTTATGTGTGAGAAGTTCTCAGTTCTTTTCCTAAAAGTTTTTTTTTTTGATAAATGGAGCAAAAATGTAAAAGGGAAGACCATGAATGTGATTAGTTTTATTAAGATTGACTCATGACAGAAACTGACTTCTTCCAAAAGAAAGACATTTCTCAGACAGACCAGCATATCTTCTCGTATAAAAGAAAAAGGGGAAAAAAACATCATTTGAATCTGATGCCACAAGACTGAGCTCTTTTTTTTTCTTTAAAAACTGGACTTAAGAGGAACCAAGAGAAGTGTGTGGTAGGCCACCCCTAATATGGTCCCCAAAGATCCCCATCTCCTGGCATGCATGCCCTTGAGTGGTTAACCCCTCAAGGATGGGCTGGACTTATTGACTTGCTTCTAACTAATAGAAAATGGCAGAAGTAATGAGCTGTCATTTCCAAGATTAGGTAATAAAAAAACTGTCTTCTGTCATGAGCTCACATTCTCTCTCTCTCTCTCTCTGTCTCTCTCACTAAGACCATTTGTCCTGAGGAAAGATTGTTAACAATGGTATACAGCAGCCCTATGAGGAGGCTCACATGGTGAGGGATGGAAGCTTGCCAATAATCACGAGTGAGCTTGAAAGCAGATTCCCCCACCACCGACCTCCCCTCACCCAGCTGAACCTTTAGATGAGACCACAGCCCCGACCAATAGCTTTACTGTGACGTCACTAGATACCCTGATGCAGAGGCACCCAGTTAAGCCAAGTCTAGATTCTTGCCCCACAGAAACTGTGAGATAATCAATGTTTGTTGCTTTAAGCCACTAAATGTTGGGGCAATCTGTTACACAGCAATAGATAACTAATACAAGAGGTCACACAATTGGAAACACACATTTTCCGCCCTTATTTTAAGTCAAATACTAGAAAAATTTCTAGCATAGGGAAGGAGGGTTTGGTAACAAATAACCATAGTCTTGAGCACTGAAGGTATGCTCATTCATGCTGCTAAATATTATGAATGAATTATCTAAAGGTCTTTAAAGATTATTGTGGCAGTTGGGAGAGGTAGGTGGGGCTCCTAGAAATCATGTTACATGAAGAGTGAGGAGATACAATTGCTATCTTTTAAAATGTGAGTGGTGGTCAAATGAGAAGAGACGTGCTTAACTTGCTTTGTGTGACCCTGAAGGACAGAGCAAGAGGCAGTGACTGGAAGTTGTAGGCAAGTATATGCTGGCCCTATTGAATTTTGCTGGTGTTTCCATGAAACACCAAGAATAAACTTCATGTCTACTGCTTGGCTATTCAAAAATTACATCTGCAGGTGAAGGCTGTCTGCAAGCAATGAAAATGCTACTGTCTGCGTATGGTCGAATTGTGGGTGATTTTTAAAGTTATTTTTCTAAATTATGTTTTCACTTATATTGTCTTTGCAATTAAAAATGAAACATATTATAGGAAAAGAGTGCCACACACTTTGTGTTGCTAGAACATCTCCTGTTTTGGTTTATTACTGTGTCTTAGGCTGACCATCTCCTCTCTTCCCAGAGAAAAGTCTGATGATCCCAGGAAACACCATTTCTTCAAAACCATCAACTTTCCTCGCCTGGAAGCTGGCCTCGTTGAACCTCCATTTGTGCCAGACCCTTCAGTGGTTTATGCCAAAGACATCGGTGAAATTGAAGATTTCTCTGAGGTTCGAGGAGTTGAATTCGATGACAAAGATAAGCAGTTCTTCCAAACATTTGCAACAGGCGCCGTTCCCATCGCGTGGCAGGAAGAGATTATAGAAACAGGACTGTTTGAAGAATTGAACGACCCCAACAGGCCTGCAGGTTGTGGGGAGGGTAATTCATCCAAGTCTGGTGTATGTTTGTTATTGTAAGTTGTTCTCTCCACCAGACAGGCAGTAGGAGTCTCCGCTGACATGTGTAATCCTTGAATCCTAACCCACAAAAATTTGTTGACTGAGGACTGATCAATCAGGAGGGGCATTTCAACCAGAGAACAGCTCAAAGGACAGGCAAGCTCAATAGTAGGAGGTGTTTTCTTTCCTTCCTTCCTCCTTCCTTCTTCTCTCTCTCTCCTTTTCTTTTTTTCTCTTCCTTTTCCCTTCCTTCCTTCCTTCCTTCCTTCCTCTCTATCCTGCCTTCCTTCCCTTCTTCCTCTCTTTCTTTCTTTCTTTCTTCCTTCATAAAGAAGAGTAAAGTCTCAGTTTTCACTGAAAGCTAGGAAAAGGAACGCTCAGATTTATTTTGATAAACTAAAAGCATGAGCCCTCACCATTGTGTTCCTGAAAATTACGCAAAGTCCTAGGAACAGAGAATGGAACTTTGTGGTATACTCAGAAAATGAGCATTTGCAATTCTTAGTAAATAATCATTTTAGTTTTTCTCTGTTTATATCTTTTCTTCCCTTCATCTTTCACTATGTCTTCTGCTTCTGTACTTATAAAAAGGATTTTGAAGCTGGAAATAAATATTCCTGATATTCTATTCCCCCCCCCAAAAAAGGAGTGGATTGTAATATTTTGGCAATATTTTAGATTACAAATTAATTTTTAATTTACTGAAAGTCTCTTTTTCGTATTTTTGAAATATTCTACCATTATAATGTTGCAGCATATTAAACAGCATGTAAACAGACATGAGGTCTGTGGATTAAAGTATTCTGTACGTTGAGTCCTTTAAATAACATTCTACAAAGTGCTTAACTATGTAATTCCATATGCCATTGGTTCCCAAACTTTGATGAACTTTGGAATCACCTAGGGATCTTTCAAAATACTAATGTGTGACTCCCACCCCCAGACTTTAATTGGTCTGGGATACAGCCTGGGCACTTAGATTTTCAAAACTCCCTAGGTGGTTCCAACGTGCAGCAAAGTTTGGGAACCATGATCGTGTAGATGTAAATGTTATTACACATGGGACCTTGTTTGGTTGCTCAAAACTCCAGTCATACATTTTGATAGCAACTTTCCAAATATCCTAAAAATGTAATGTTGGCAATTGTAGTGCAAATGAAACTGAAGATAATCTGTATTCATCTTGTAGATTTCCTTGTCTTTGCACGCTTTAGTTCCTCACACCTGTCTTGGGAAGTAGTATTCTTGGCTATTTCAAGAAATATGATTTGAACAAACAGTGGCCCTCATTTCAGGTGGCTGCCCAGCCAGCACTTTATTGTAGGGTTAGCACTTCTCAAAAGCACAGCCAAAGTGAGAATTTTAAGGCTGACGAGAGAGAGAGAGAGATGGCACAAATATAAATCTAGGATGATTATATATATGTATTTTTAAAAGATACGTGTGTACGTAAGGAAATCTCACTTGTCCAATGGTGAGAAACCTGGCTGAACTTACTCAAAAATTTTAATCCTTGACAAGAGTTACAAAAACACTGGCCAAAAAAATAAATAAATAAAATAAAGTTGGTCAGCGGGATCCAGCTACCAACAATCCTCAGCTATAAGACAGCATCAACCGTATCTGAAACAAGGCGTAAGACACTCCTTTGGAGTTGAGTCCTGGGTTAGCGCACATGCCACTCACCCCCCTGCTCTTCCTCCATCCTCAGTGAGCTCGGGGTGCTCCAAACCCCACCCTGGAAATAAATATTGCAGAGTCCTGAGTCACCAAAGCAGAATTCAGGTGTGTCTAGCAGGTTCTTTTTCCTAAGGCAAGAAAATAGCTCAAAAATTGATAAAATTTCTGAGTCTATTTAACAAAAAAAGAATCAACAGTTAACAGAAATCCAATTAACCAGAGTATTCCAAGAGTAGAGGCCTCAGGATTTAACTTTATAAACATTAGACATTTAAAAAGTGACGTTTTCTTTCTTGCATTGGTTCCTTCATGTGAATGCCAACTGCTTTTGATAAATTTTAAATATACAAATTTCTGTTTCATATTTTAGAAGTAACTCAGGAAAATAATTGAATAAGAAAATTTTATTCAAACAGTCACCAAGTATGTATGTGTTGAGCTCTAACTATACATTCAGCCCCTATGCTGAGTGGTGTTGAGGACGCAATAGAGAAACAAGACAACCATCTGTGAAAGTCCCTGTGGCGCAGTGTAGAATGCAGACTCCTGTGGGTGTAATTATTCACATTTTAAAAGAGGAAACTGATGCTCAGAGATGCTTTATAGCTTGCCCAAGGTCACACAGCTTTGCAGGGTTGTTGTGAAGACTAGAAATAGTGTATAGGAAGCAAATAGTGCATAACTAGGCATAATAAATTGAAGACTATGGTAAGTGGCAGCAGGTCAAATGACTCTAGGTCGAAGGACAAACTATTAAGATCTGAACCCAGTCACCTTCATTAAAAGTTACAGAGGAAGTGAGAGAAGCAAGACAGCTGATTCCTGGGGAGTGGTTGAGAAGGAAATTTTTTACGCAGAGCAAAAGAAAAATCGAATTGGAATAAGTGGAGACGTGGGGGCCCATCCCAGGCCTCTTTCTTATCCTACGCCAGGTCGGGATCCACCTGAGCCAAGTCAGAGGGAAAGAGATTCATTCATCTCTATCAGGGCAGGGCAGGTGAGGTTCAGACTTCAGCATGGAAATTAAATATTTTGAGATGGAGAGAAATAAGCCAGTGCAGAAGGATCTGTGCAGGTTGTGGTCGGATTCAAGACCTAAATAAGACGCAAACTTGAGGGAGGGTATAGCTCAGTGGTAGAGCACACACTTAGCATGCATGAGGTCCTGGGTTCAATACCAGGTACCTCCACTTAAAAAATGGGGGGAAGGTATAGCTCAGTGGTAGAGTGGTCCTGCGTTCAAACCCCATAACTCCATTAAAAAAAAAAAAGATGCAACCAGATATTTCATCAAAGGAAAGAAGTGATTTTTGTAAAGGGATGATGCTTACTGATTTTTAGAAAGTTAAAATGAGATTATGTTTTTAGAGAAAAATTCTATAAACATAATAAAACATTAGGGGAAACCAAGAAGTGTATGAGTGAAGTATTTAGACAAAGAAGAACCAGGAAGAAGTCATTTTTATACCCTTCTAGCTAGTTAGGGATTATTTGAAATTTCTGTTTAATTAAGAAGGAGATGGATTTCATAAACTTCTTGAAGGGGCTTAGAAGTGCCTTGCAAGGCAGAAGGTATGGATGATGTTTTCAAAGGAAACAGTCGTGAATTATTGACTTTGGGACTGCAAGCCACAAAGTGTTAAAAAATACTCTCAATTGTTTATGTTGAGTATCAAATTTAAGGTGTTTTTCATTTAGGTGACCAGGCTTGGAAGTGAAAAAAATTGAATATTAACTTTGCTTCTTAGGAATTACACATTTGAAATCATGAGTGAGTACCAGATCAGTTTTTAAAGATCATTATTATGTTGTATTTATCATTAGGGCAGTTTAACTTAAGTAAATTGTCTGGGCAGTAAAACGTGATGGAAATAGTGAAAATATATAATCCTTGCTTCTTTTTTTATCTTTCATTTATTTATTTATTAGGGGGAAGTAATTCGGTTTGTTTATTTTTAATGGAGGTACTGGGGATTGAACCCAGCACCACATGCATGCTAGGCATGCACCCTACCACTGAGCTACACCCTCCCCCTGTGATCCTTGCTTCTTGAATGGTTGTTCTTGGCAGTTATAAGCCCTAAAAGGAAAAAATATGATAAAGGAAAAAATAGGTACAAGAATATTTGGGGGGGAAGGGGCTGGAAGACTGACCATATTAGCCATTTGATTATCAAAAAAAAAATTTTTAAAAAGACTTGTTAAATTTTTTGGATCATCTAGGAAAAATAATTGCAGTTATTTAGGTTTAACTATTCTTTCAATAAATATTGGTGCGCCCAATGCACCAGGCCCATTTCAGTTTGGGAAGATATGCTGGGTTTTGCCCCTTTAAAATTTTTAGGTTGGAACGTGCTTTTGTTCCCCTTGTGCATCAGTAAACCTTTATATCTCTCTGGGTAGAGATAAATTTTGTTCTTTCCGTTTTTTCCTAAGTTTTCTGCACTGAACATATCTTTCTTTTCAGAATCAACAAAAAGTGTATCATTTAAAGCAAGGCAGGAACTGTCCTAATTGGATCTGGATGTGTGCCCAAGCTGGATCTGGCCAAAACCAACCCCCAAAGACGCCCTCCCCAGCTGAAAGGATGGGGGTGGGGCGGAGTAAGTCCAGGGCTCCTGGTCTGAGCCGGCAGATTCTCCCTGGACAGAGCCAGCAGTTGGTGCCTAAGGTTGAGCCGAATTAGTGGTTCCACAATCCAGACCATGAACTGTGGCTGGTTGGTGGTGAAGTTTTTACCAAACCACAAAAAAAAAAAAAAGAAGGACAATGCAGTAAATATTTTAGACTGTGTAGATGCAACAATTTAACTCTGCCTTTGTGGTGGGAAAGCAGCCTTAGACAATGGAAAGGACTGAATATGTCTGTGTGCCAATAAAGCTTTCATTACAAAAACAGGCAGTGGAGCTGGATTGACCCTCAGGTTTACTGCTTATAGTCATAAGTCTCATGATTAAACTGACTGGGTTATCTGATTTTAACGGAGCTTTTTACAGCTCTGTAGATTGTAGGTAACTAACTGAGATATAAAATAATTCTTGCCTATAAATATTTAAATGACCCATCCCCATTGTATTAGTTTCTTAGGGCCATGATAACAAAATTCTATCGACAGGGTGGCTTACACCACAGAAATTTATCTCAGTTCTGGAAGCTAGATCCAGGTGTCCTTGGGGTTGGTTTCTTTTGAGACCTCTGTCCTTGATTTCTAGATGACCACCTTCTTCTGCCTCACGTCCTCCTTCTGTGGTCTCCGTCCTAATTTCTTCTCCTTCCAAGGACAGCAGTCATACTGGATTAAGGCCCATCTTAATGATCTTATTTTAACTTGATTACCTCTTTAAAGACCTTAACTCCAAATACAGTCACAGGTACCCCAGAGGTACCTGGGGGGTTAGGACTTAACACATGGATTTGGGGAGACACAATACAGCGTATAACACTCCCTCAAGCCAATTTTATGTCCACTCATTCATTTCAACATTCCTTTACCTCATATAAATTTGTGGATTTTATTACTTCTTTGAATTGGTTGTAATGCCAGTTTCCTCATTAAAGACTTAAATAAAATCTTTAACATGTGTTCATTTTTGTTTCTGTATGACAGTCATGGTTTTTTTTTAAATGAAGTACAATCAGTTACAATGTGTCAGTTTCTGGTGTACAGCACAATGTCCCAGTCACACATACACATACATATATTCATTTTTATATTTTTTATTAAAGGTTATTACAAGATATTGAACATAGTTCCCTGTGCTATACAGAAGAAACTTTTTAAAATTATTTTTATATATAGTGGCTAACATTTGTAAATCTCAACCTCCCAAATTTATCCCTTCCTACACCTTTCCCTGGTAACCATAAGGTTGTTTACTATGTTTGAGAGTCTGTTTCTGTTTTGTAGATGAGTTCATAGTGTCCTTTTTTCTTTTTTTTTATTTTGTAAGATTCCACGTATGAATGAT